ACATGTGCGGCACCACCACCTCGAGGTTGTTCCCGTCCCCAGCGCAGGTCCAAGCTGAAATGAGCCGATCGATCGATCGGTCAAGTTACGCCTGGGCCAACGCGAGGGAAGTGGACCACCTCGAGGCGGCGGAACCATCCGTGCCCATATTAGTTTGCAGATATGGGGTGGAGGTCCTCAATAATCACCTTCCTTCTCCCCCTTCCCCCCTCTCCCGACCCCCCCCTCCCATTCCCCTTTCCTCCTCACGCTTCCCTCCCTTCCTCGCCCCCCCCCCCTCATCCTCCTGGCCCTTCCTTTTCAGTGGATGATGTTTTGGGTCAGTTTCGACAGCTATGAATCGTTCGACGGCGGACGACGATGGCGCTTCAAATCGAAGGATCGCCAGGGGGATCGGTTCATGGCGGAAGGGGGAAAGCTTGAAATGAGGGAGGGGAGGAAGGGGGAGGGGGGAAGGGGGGCGAGGGAGATGAATACTGCGATGAAGAGGGGGGGAAGGAGAAGGAAAGAGACAAAGAGAGAAAGAGGGAGACAGAGAACGGAAGATAGAGGAGGATGAGGAGGAGGGGGAGGAGGAGGGGGAGGAGGAGGAGGAGGAGGAGGAGGAGGAGAGGAGGGAGGAGGAGGAGGAGGAAGAGGAGGAGGAGGAGGAGGACCCCCCCAAGAAATCTCAAGAAGGGTGGTCCGACCCGTCGATCCGCCAAACCCTCCAACGCCAGTATGACATCATACTGCTGACCTCCAGGTCCTCCACCCCCTTTTGCCGCTCCATCCGTATCGGAGGTTGCGGAAGCAAGCGCGGTGACCAACGCGTGACGTACCTGCAAGTGTGTGTGTGTATACGTTTGCGCAGATATGTCCATAAATCCATATGCTGTGTATGATCAATTGCGTTTGCACGCGCGTAACGTAAAAAATGTATGTACCCAATCGTGGATGGTATGCGCACTTTTTTCACACGGGGGTATGCGCATATCATACGTTAATCGACGGGCGTGTATATATATGGCGACATGTGCGGCAATGTGCATATACATATACTTATACATGCATACGTGCGTACATGGGTGCATATACACACATACATACATACATACATACATACATACATACATACATACATACATACATACATACATACATATACATATATAAATGCATATGTACACATATGCATATATATATATATATGTATATGCATACAAATATATGTATATGTGCGTGCCACACACACGCACACATATATATATATATATATATATATATATATATATATACATACAGCACCAAACCCATCAGCGTCAACATCGTCAACATCATTGCTCAAGACAAAAAAAGCGGAACTGCGGAATTATGTTGTGTCACAACCAAAAAAAGGAATTGCGGAATCAACATGTTTTTGAGGAAAAAACAATTCCGCAAATTAGTTGCGGAAAAGAAGCTCTGGGAGTAACCCTGGGAGCCCCGGGCGGCGCGCCCGCGGCCGCCCGCGGCCGGCGCGGCCGGCGCGGCCCGCGCGGCCCGCGTGCGGGACGCGCGGCGCCACGCCTCGCCGGGGGCGCTGGCAGGCGGCAGGCCGAGGCCGAGGCTGCAGAGCCGGGTCGCCGCTGTGGGCTGCGCCCGTGTCCTGCGCGCTCGGGCGGAGGAGGGCAGCCAGAACCTTGCTCATTCCTCCCGTGGCATGCTCCCCTTCCCTGCTCCCCCTTATGGGCCTCCTCCCTTCCCCCCCCTTTGATCTAATTACCTCCTCCGCCTCCTTACCCCTCCCCTCCAGGAGGAGGAGGAGTGAGGAGGAGGAGAGGAGAGAGGAGGGGAGGAGGCTCCTCCTCCTCCTCCTCCTCCTCCTCCTCCTCCTCCTCCTCCTCCTCCTCCTCCTCCTTCTCCTCCTTTTCCCGCATGTGATCCTCTTCCTCCTTCTGAAGGAACAGTTCCCTTGCGACGAGTCTTGCGCAGGCGGATGCGCAGCCCGCGGTCGTGAGCCTAGTTGTTCTGATGCGGTGGGCCCCCGAGGCCTCAAGGACACGGGCGACACCAGGAACAGACGTGGGCCGACGTCACAGGGGCCCAGAACGGGATTAGCGGAGGCTGACCGCGCGTCGGCGCGGAGAGCGAGCCGCGCAGCAGCAAGAAGGCTGGGGCCAGCGCCCATGCCGGCGCCCGCCTAGCCGCCCAGACGACGGATGCGAGGCAGGCAGGGCCGAGCGCCCTCTCGAAGCATTACTCGAAGACGCAGAATACCGCAAAAACACATCTGCTCGGAGGTCCGCGCGGATTTCTTGGATCTCCGCTGGGCACGCCTGGCGGCGCCTCGGGCGCCGCCCCGAGCGCGCTCCGCGGCGCCACAGCATCTTGGCATCGCACGCACGTGTGCGTTTGTTTTTTTCTCGGCGAGGACCATCGAGGAGCACCATGACCATCGAGCCCCCCCCCAAAAAACACGCACGACATCGAAAACTGCACGGGAAATGGACGTCCCACCGATCGCCAGGACCTGTGCTGCCTCAGTTGCTCACGTTCGGCCTCGGCCCGCCACCGACAGAGGGCGGGGGGGCACGCCGCGGCAGCTCCCCGGGGAGAGGCAGAGGCGGCCCGTGTGCAGAAGCAGGTGGCGCGAGCGCCGCGGCGCACCGAGAGGGCCCCCAGAGCGCAAATGCCGTGGATGGTGGACACGCTTTGAGAAAGCTGTTGGTGCTGCCGTCTTGTTGTCGGGCGTCCGGTTGCCCCGGACGGCTCGACGGGCTCCCAAGGTCTCGGTGTCCCCAAACGTGGTGGTGAGAACACCCGGTGGTGAGTTTTGGGCGATTTGGGTAATGGTTGTCGAGCGCTGGCTGGCCCAGGAAACGCAGAACCTCGTGGCGACCGCGTGTCCCCAAACCCGGTGGCGACCCAGAATTACTTTTTGGGGAATCGGGGTCACCACCGGGTGTCTCACCACCTGGTTTGGAGACCACCAAAAGTCAGAGCCCCGAATCATCAGGGGTAACTCGGGTCAGGGTTAACTCGGGTTCGTTTTTCGGGAATCCGAGCCCGAGTTATCCCGGACCCGAGTTACCCCGGATATTTCGGGCGTCCACAGCCCCGAATCATCAGGGGTAACTCGGGTCAGGGCTAACTCGGGTTGGTTTTTCGGAAACCCAAACCCGAGTTACCCCGGACCCGAGTTACCCCGGATAATTCGGGCGTCCAACCAAGGAGGCCCCGAAAGCCCCAGGCTGCAACCCCGCGCCCAGCAACGAGCAATGGCCGAGCGTCCTGGCTCGCGTAGAGGCCCAGATGCCCACAGGAGAACGCTCTGGACACCCGTCGTGGTTTGCATATGAGGCTGCTCTCGTAGCATGTCTGACTGCGACACTCTTGTGTTTCAATGCGTCAGTTCTGTGTTCTAAGGACGCTGCTTCTGTGATTCGAATATTATTTTGTCCTGGGAACGTGTCGTGGTGGTCTAATTACAGGAATGCAGGGTCGGTCGGTCCCTGCTGAACAAGATGCTGTGGAAGAGCGGCGCGCGTTTCCTCGCCCTTCCGTCGGCGGCACCCGAGGTGGCGTGTCCTTCTTGTGCCGGCGTGCCGCCGCCCTCCGATCGGCAGGCCGCGGTTGCGCCAGGTGTTCTGTTGCGGAGCTCGAGCGCTGCGGCGTTCCGGTGCTGCATGGTCGGACCTGCTCGCCACTTGACGTGGCATCGCTCGGACGTGTGGTGTTTCGTTCTCGGCGGGGACCATCGAGGAGCATCCAGGGTCATCTTGCGAGAACATCGCGCACGAAGCCGAAACATGCACGGGGAGTGGACGTCCGAGCGATGGCAAGCTGAGCGACGCAGTGCAAAGGGGGCTGTCCGCACGGACACAGGCGCGTAACTAACAGCTGCCTGCGTAGGATGGCGCGTGCGCGCCGGCGCTTCCGGCGCAGCGTTCCGTGCTGGCAGCGCGCGCGATAGCCACCGCGTGAGGTCGATAAAGGGGGCCTCTCGCGACCTTTTTTGGTTCGTCGCGCGTTTGCTTTGCGCCATTCAGCCAGCGCGTTGCACCAAGATCGGCGCCGGGCAAGGGGGGGAAGTGAGAAGGAGAGGGCCTTCTCAGAAGGCGGCGGGGTTTCTCAGAAGCCCTCGGGCCTTCTGGGACGTCTCCGGTGTCCTCGGCGAAGGCGTAGAGAGCTTCCCAGGAGGGTCGGGGGACTTCCGAGCCTTCGGAGAAGGCCTGCTCCTTCGCCCTTGCCCCCCGGGCTCGCCGCCGATGAGAGTCGCGCTGGAGGAGCCCGGGCTTTCGGGCCGCTCCCGAGGTCTCGAGGTCTGGGCGCCCGCCGGTGGCCGAGGCTCGCCGCGGCCGGGGGAGAGCCCCGTCGTGCTCTGCTGGCATTATCCACGCGGCAGCACGAGGGCCGTACGCCTCCCCCCCTCTCCCTGCCCCTCCCTTGGCACCGCTCGGACGTGTGCATTGTTCCTCGGCGGGGACCACCGGAGGAGCACCTGGGAGCAGTGTCGACACACCTGGACGCACGAAAAATCGAGACATCCGCGGACAGGGACGCCCGAGGGATGGCACGCTCCCCTCTCCCTGCCCCTCCTCAACGTAGCCACCTGGGCCACTGCTCCCCGCGTCTCTCTCCCCCCCCCCGCCCGCCTCCGCCTGCGAAGCCCCCCCTGGAAAGCCCTGCTCATCCCTCCGAGCTCCGTCGAAGACCTGCGAGTCCTCCCCAGCTCCCTCGGGGGTGGGGGGAGGCAGGCGACGGCGGCCACCACGACGACCTCCGCCACCGCGACCACGACGGCCACGATCACCACGACCGACCACCACGATGCCTGGCGTCGCTCGGACGTGTGCATGTTCTTCTCGGCGAGGACTCTCGAGGAGCCTCCTCGACCACCTGGCTAGAAGAGGCACGCAGGAACCCGAGACATGCACTGGCAATGGACCTCCGAGCGACGGCGAGCGACGGCAGCGGCGACAGCGAAGCCTCCACTTTGGTGCCCCCCCCCCCCTCGGCCGGCAGAGCGAGAGAGAGAGGAGCTGGCCAAGAGGGAGCAGCACGTGCAGCAGGCGTGCCCCGGTCATGCGGTCATGCCGCCGCCGCTTCGCCGGGAGGAGGTCGGGGGTCCCCAAACGTGGTGGTGAGAACACCCGGTGGTGAGTCTGGGGCGAATTGGTGTCACCACTGGATTTTGGAACTCGGGCGGTGTTTCGAGGATGTCTCGAGCGCGGGTGGTCCCGGGAATCACGAAACCCGGTGGTGACCCTGTGTCCCCAAACCTAGAAATTACGTTTTTAGGATTTCAGGTCACCACCGGGTGTGTCACCACCTGGTTTGGGGGCCACCAAGGAGGGGGAGGGGCAGTCGTCTCTCTCTCTCCCTCTCCGCAGCCGCCGAGCGCGTCGCCCGATCCGACGCCGCGGCGCCGCGTGCCCCGCGGGCAGCAGCACGGCGAGCGGTCGCAGCATCAGGAGGGCGTCGGTGGCCTCTCCGCCCAGCAGCCCGCCAGCTGCCCGAGGCCACGCCCCGGCCGTCCCACGAGGCTTCCGGCCGGAGGGTCGGCCACACGTCATGCGGTGACCCTCCGCCGACCTTCGGGTGTGCGGCTCCCGAGGGGCGGGGGTTGGCAATCGGAGGAGGGGCACGGATTGATATGGCTGCGCATCCCTCGTCACCAAGGCTGCTTTCGCCTCGACGTCCGGAGAGGTCCGCGGATCAGCGGCGTGGGTGTCTTGTCGTTCCCCCCTTTCGTTGGGCTCCTGAGCAAGACTTGTTGTTTTTCTTCTTGCTCATCCATCCTTTCCTCCTCCTTCCCCTCGCACAGACCAGGGTCAGACCTGGGCTATGTGGCGCTTGCGCGCGCGTCGGACGAGACGCGAGGGTGCGTGCGCGCTGCGAGCGACAAGGCAAGGACCCTGCTCATGCGCGCACTCACTTCTGGATCGCTTCCCAGAGCGGTGCTGCAGCGGTAATGGAACATACAACTGTTTCGCGATTTCCGCAGTTGCAGCCGAGCATCTGGTGCTCGCTGCTGCTGCCGCTGCAGCTGCCGCTGGGGATGCTGGGAGGCTGGACTGAGAAGGAGAGAAGGATAAATCGAAGAGGAAGCAACTTCATAAGCTTTCACTGTTGGCGCTCCGCGCGGATTTCTTGCACCGGCGCTGGACCCCCAGGGTCGGTGTCAGAGGCGCCGATCCGAGCAATCCGCGCCGAGCTCCAACATTTCTGTTGCTGCAGTTGTTGTTGTTGCCTTTCGTGGCCCCGCTGTCGCTCTCGCTTTCGCTCGTCGTCGTCGTCGCCGTCGTCGTCGTCGTCGTCGTCGTCGTCGTCGTGGTGGTCGGTCCCCTGTCCGTCCCTCTTGGGGTCGGGTTGCCGCCGGTCAGCGCTGCCGCTGTTCAGGCCGACGGTCCGCGGCCGTCCCGCCGCTTGCCAGGGCCCGGCCGGCAGGGAAGAAAGATATAACACCCTGAAAGGGGTACGCTCGAAGACGAAGACGGCGTGTATCGAGGGTTGGGACATATACGATGAATGACACTCGAGCAGATAAGAGCGAACATGATTAACTTGATGGTTGTTGTTGGTGGTGGTGGTGTTGTTTGTGTGTTGGTGTTGGAGTTGTTGTTGTTGTTGTTGTTGTTGTTGTTGTTGTTGTTTGTTGTTGGTGCTGTTGTTGTTGGTGTTGGTGTTGTTGCTGCTGCTGCTGTTGCTGTTGTTGTTGGTGTTGTAATTGTTGCTGTTGTTGTTATGTTCGTTGGTGTCGTTGTTGCTGTTGCTGCTGATGTTGTTGTTGATGATGCTGATGCGGTTGTTGTTGTTGTTGTTGTTGTTGTTGTTGGTGGTGGTGGTGGTGGTGGTGGTGGTGGTGGTGGTGGTGGTGGTGGTGGTTGTGGTTGTGGTGGTGGTGGTGGTGGTGGTGGTGGTGGTGGTGGTGGTGTGTTTGCTGTTGGTGTTGTTGGTTTTGTTTGTTGGTGCTGTGCCTCCCACAGGGGAGGAGCTAGGAGGGAAGACGACGAGGACGAGGAGGTTGACGAGGACGCGGACGACCTGGGACGACGGGGCCGACGAGGACGGGGACGGGGACGAAGTTGACGATGCCGACGAGGACGGGGAAGCCGACGAAGAGGACGAGCAGGACCTAGGAGGGAGGACGGCGAGGACGAGGATGCCCCGACGCAGCGCACTCCCAAGAACTCCGCGCGTACTGTCGAAAGCGTATCTTTGCGCGGGGACACCCCCCGTTCGCGGCGGCGCTCTTGGTTCCCAGCGATGCGCGTCCCCGCCACGTGCAGGAGCCACTGGGTTCCTTTTTCCATCCCCTCCTCCTCCTCCTCCTCCTCCTCCTCCTGCTCCTGCTCTTCCCTCCCCTCCTCCTCCACCTCCTGCCTCCTCATCCTCCTTCTCCTCCCCCTTCCCCTCCTCCTCCTCCTCCTCCTCCTCCTCCTCCTCCTCCTCCTCCTCCTCCTCCCTCCTCCTCCTCCTCGTGGAGGTTTGGACCCTCTCCGCTCCAGGAGCCGCCGTCGGCAGCGGCCGCTGCCGGGGACGGGCGGGGGAAGGACAGGGGGCGGGGCGAGGGGGCGCCCATGAGCCGTTTCCCCAAGCGGCGCCGGCGTGCGAGCCGTGGCGTCGCCGGGTGGGCGAGCGGGGGCACGGTGGAGCGCCCCCGGTAGCGCTCGGGGGTGGGCAGACCTCCTACGGTAGGTTTGCGTCGTGTCGACCAGCGTTGACCCCAGCGCGGGCGTTCAAGGTTGAACGCCGCCGGCGACCCAGAATCGATCGATGTTGAACGATCGGACGCTGCGGCAGCGGCCGATCGTTCAAGGTTGAACGATCCCTGCGGTGTCAAAAACCAACGCTGGGGTCGGCACGACACGAACCTGCCGTACCCTGACACGTCGACTAAGGAATTGGCCGTTGTCGGTTCGCGGGAGGGCGTCGCGGCCGTCATGTTTGCGGGTCCAGGTCCGTCGGTTTCGGTCCCAGGCCGTCTTCGCCAAGGGGAGGTTTACGAAAGGGAGGTTTGTCCACCGCCGATCGCAGATCTCGTAGAAGAGCGCGCTCCCAGGGCTCCAGTCGGCGGCGAGCGAGGGGGGGAGCTGAGAAGGAGAAGGCCTGCTCAGAAGGCGGCGGGACCTCTCAGGAGCCCTCGCGCCTTCCGAGAAGTTGCTTTCTGTCTTCTGGGAAGGCTTGGAACACTTCCCAGAAGGCCGGGGGGGGGGGTCCAAGCCCTCTGAGAGGGCCTTCTCCTGCTCACTTCTCCCCCTCGCTCGCCGCCGATCCAGGGGCGGGAGCGAGGACGGGGGCAGATTTGGCACGGGGGAGTCGGGACCTGAGGGAAGCGGGGCCTGGGCCGATGGAGCCTGGCGGTCGCCAACATGCATCAAGGGGGCGTGGGTTGGCGACGGGTCCCGCTACCATGGGGAGCCGCGGCTTTCCGCCGCCGAGCGAGGCGGCGCAGGCCGCACTTCGGGGAGGGCGCCTCCCCCGATCCATGGATTCGGCGACCGCGCGCCAAATCCAGGGGATCGCGGATCCATGTCGGCGCGCCCCTGGCCTGCAGGACGGGACCTGCATGCGGAGCCGCCTCCCGACGGCCCCACGAGCCGGTGGAGGGCCCATGCGGAGCCCGGAGGCGGCGGCAGACTCTGTGGGCTCCCCCTGCCCCTCTGCAGGGCCCCGCGGCGAGCCCCGCGGGGGGCCCGCGCGGCGCGCCCCCCGCGCGGGGCCCCCGCGGCGCCCAGGAGCGGCAGCAGTGGGCCGAGGAGCGGCAGCACCTGCACGCGAGGGCGCAGGAGCCGCGGGGGCCCCCCCGCGCAAAAGGGGCGTCGGCCGCCTGCCGCGCCAGGGCTGCGGCGGGGTTCGGGCGGGGCCGCGGACGAGGGCCAGGGCAACGCGGGCACGGCGCCCCTCTGCAGGAGGAGTGCTCGAGGAGAGCAGGAAGCGATAGGCAGGGGAGGATGTTCCGTGCCCTTCCGGCCTGTGCTTGATAGTTGCGTGTTGACACTTTGTATTGCGCTTCCAAACATTGTTTGTAGGAGGACATGCCCGGCCAATTGCCAGGACAAGGATCGATCCTTTCCAGAGCGTTCCAGGACGCTCTCAGAGCGTTCCGGAGCGCTCTGAGAAGGTCGCGGCGCCCGAGACACCTCCAGAGCCGCGGGATCTAAGATCTAAGTGATTACGGAGTTTTGGTGCCTCCCCCGATTTTGTCATCGTGCTGGCCTCGTCTTTTAATTAGGTGTGCGGCGGCAGCGGACGCCTTCTCGGGGGCGTCGAAGAGGGGGTGATGACTACTTTGGTATGTGTGTGTGTGTGCGTGCTGTCGATCCTCTTTTGGCAGATCCAGTATCTCCACTCCGCCTGATCTGGGCTGGCCGCGCTCGCCTCTTCGCCCGACCTTCCTACGTCGCACCGCTGCGCGCGGTAGCTGAGGTGAATGCCCCAGGTCTTTTGCCTCCATCCGTTGCTGGCCTCGAGTCCGCCTGCCCCGACTGGTCTCCGAAGATGTCGCGCGTGTCATCGATCACCTCAGCGTCCATCTCCATCGCATGTTCCAACAAACCTGGGGATTTTGACCCTGTGCCCATAAGAGGGGGATCCAGCATCGAAGAGGTGGGCAGGTCTGACCTATTTCCTGCGCCCGCCAGCGCCAGTATACTTGGCGACGGTGACTCTAGGGCTGGCTTTCCGTGTTCGTCGGGCTCCAGCCGTGATCCGAGCAACACAGGCGACGCTGACCTTGCGCCCGTCCCAGGCGGATCCAGCAGCGGCGAGGCGGGCAGTTTGACCCAGTTTTTGCGTCCTCGCTCTCCAGTCGAACTTGCGACGGTGACCTTGCGTCCGTACCAGTCGGGGGTGAACAGAACCCCCACCTTGACACGTCGATTAGTGATTTGTCCGTTTTCGGTTCTCGAGAGGGCGCCGCGGCCGTCGTGTTCCAGGCTCGCGCCCGCCCGATTTGGGCCCGAGGCCGTTTTCACCAAACCGCGTTTTGCTAAAGGGGTCTCTGTCCATCCCTGGACCAGGGGGGATCCAGCTCAGCGACGGGGCGGGCTGCGGCTCTGACGCGCTTCTGCCGTACACCTTAGGCGATGCTTAAGAAGCCCAAGTTTTCGGCCAGAGTCTCGATTATTCTTCACGTTTCAGTGTACATCCTAAGTGTTTAATGGACATGTTGGGTTTTTTATTCAAGTTCTGAGACTATAAGATTCTTAGCCCATGATTTCTTAAGCATTTCGCAGGGTGTATCGTCCAGCAGGGCAGTCGCAGCTTCCGATCCCGTGCCGACTTCTTGGCATGCCGAGCGCCTGCGCAGGAGCGAGACGCCGAGCGCGCCGCCTACGACGCCGAGGCCGCCGCCCGCGCTCCGCTCTCCCTCTCTGCTAGTCGTCCCTCCCCGCCTCCTCCCCCGCCCCTCGTGATTCGCCCATCGTCCTGCTTCTCGTCTTCCTCCTCCTCCTCTCCCTTTCTCCTCCTCCTCCTCCTCCTCCTCCTCCTCCTCCTCCCCCTCCTCCTCCTCCTCCTCCTTCTCCTCCTCCTCCTGCTCCTCCTCCCCCGCCTCCTCCTCCTCCTCATCCTCCTCCTCCTGCTCCTCCTCCCCCGCCCCTCCTCCTCCTCCTCCTCTTCCTCCTCCTCCTCCTCCTCTCCTCCTCCTCCTCCTCCTCCTCCTCCTCCTCCTCCTCCTCCCCCTCCTTCTTCGGGCCCCTGTCAGGAGCGACAGAAGGACGTACACGTACATGAATCCACGCTGGTTTCGAGAACATGCACGGCGCGAGTGCTCGTATCACGCGGGCGGCCTCGCGGATCGAGGGGCCGTGTGCACGTGCATGGTTGGGCGCGCACGTCCTTTGTGGGCTCCCTACCCTGGACGGGAACCGGGGCGCTCCGGGCCAGGGCTCCCCACGAGATCCAGGCGAGGGGAGCGAAGAGCAGAGCATGCTCCGACCCTGCGGCAGCAGCTTTCCGGGGCAGCCGGTCCCGGCCCCGCCGCTGGGCGCTCCACGTGGCCGCCTCCGTCGCCAGGAGGAGGCGGGAAAGCCAGGGGCATGCAGCCGGTTTGTCGTTCGCGTGAGCCTCGTCGAAAATACATTGGCACGCCGTTGAACATCGAGGCGCTCGATAGCTCGGGCGCTTGCCAGGAGAGGCGTTCTTCAGTCATGCGGGGGCACTGCCGGCTTTCGGGCACCCCTGCGTCTGGGCCAAAGACCTCGTGCCAGCACTGAAGCAGCGCCGACCGCATAAGCACCGGTTTAGTTCTGACGAATCTTGCAGTATCCCCGCTTTAGTTGAGGGGCAACGTTGGGGGGACAGGCGCAAGGGGGAGTAGAACGATCCCCGATCGCCCATTCATCGCCGAGAGGGGCCGATGGCCAACCTTGCCCAGGAACGTGTGTTCTCGCTATTGGGGGCCCATCCGCGATCTATCGGAGACGTATGTCGGCGACTCGGGCTCGATGCTACCCCAGGGCTAGAGCTAATCTGTGCTTTAGTGATCTCGTGGACCGTCCTCGTTGTGATTTCGTTTTGTCGCAAGGGCGGAACGAAGACAGAACGCGGGACATGCGAAAGCAAAACGAAAACGGAACACATTGTTTCGTTCGAGTCCGAGCCATGGCTTCCCCCTCTTAGTTGGCTCGCCCCACAGGGAGCTCCACCAAAGGCCCCAGTGGGGGTGCCCGCATGCGGTTCTCCCACCCAGGGCAGCGTTTCGCAACCCCACAAGGGAGCTCCACCGAAGGCCCCAGTGGGGGTGCCCGCCTGCGGTTCCCCCACCCGGGGCAGCGTTTCGTGGCCCCACAGGGAGCTCCACCGCAGGCCCCAGTGGGGGTGCCCGCATGCGGTTCCCCCACCCAGGGCAGCGTTTCGTGGCCCCACGGGGAGCTCCACTGTAGGCCCCAGTGGGGGTGCCCGCCTGCGGTTCCCCCACCCGGGGCAGCGCGTCGTGGCCCCACAGGGAGCTCCACCGTAGGCCCGAGTGGGGGTGCCCGCATGCGGTTCCCCACCACCACCACTGTGGCAGGCCCCTCACACACTTCGTGGCCCCATAAGGAGCTCCACCGAGGACGATATTCACAACTTCGGGACTCACAACTGCATATGGTTGGGTGCTTCGCCAGGCTAATTCTTATATCATATTACCACACGCCCCCCCCCCGGAATTGTTAATCACAAGCTGACATGACCGTCGTCATCGATGCATCGGTAATGCGGCTCAAATCCTCTGGATCATTTCCTCTTGCCCCAATCGGGAACCATCCGGTCAAGGGGTAGCGGAAGGTGAATGATCTTCTTCTGTGCCTTGGGGGGCTTTCCTCGTCGCCACCTCTGGATCCGCGCGCGCTCTGGTGGGGTTCCGGGGGTCGATCTACGGATGCCTGACGCGGTGACTGGCGACAGGGGGAGGGACAAAATGTGAGGCAAAGGAGGGGTCCTAGAGGCCTCCCAAAAGGGTTCGAAGAGGCACAACTCATTTGTGCCCCATCTGTTTTTGACAGATTCAAAAGTTGCCAGCCTTTTGGCATCTCGACGCTCAAAGACGGCCCATGAGGCCCCCCAGACCGCTCCAGGATTCCCAGAGAGCTCGTCGAGAGCTGAGAAGTTCTCATTTTCAGATGCTGGAGCCGTAGGGCAGCCCCAGGGGTCGTTTTGGCTTCCGTGAAAAATCCCCGGAGCGGTTCGTCCGAACATCCAGCGTGTTCCGGCAAGCCTTTTCTAAGCGTTTCCCACCACGCATGCCCAGAAGCTCTCTAGAAGGTCCTTCGGGATCTTCCTCCGGCCTTCGCACGGCCTTGTGGCGCCATGATATCCGGGTCCTTGGACCCTGCAAGATGCCCAAGAGGCCTCCAACAGGCTCAAAAACGGCCCACGAGGGTACCAACACGTTGCCTGAGGCGCCAAAGACGGTCCCAAGAGAGGCCCAAGAAGGGGAACGCGAACCCAACAGCAGAGCCTTCCAGTCTAAGAGGCCCGCAGGAGGTGTTGTTGTGGAGCTTGCTGGCGTCTCAGGGGCTTCGTGCCTTGGAATTATCTTGGGTGCTCTGATGGCCCTTTTCAGGGCTCTTGACCCCTGGGCCGTCTTAGAGCGTTTCCAGCCCGTCTGAAGGGAGCCATGGCGAGAAAGCCACCATACTTGAACTGCTGCTTGGCGTTGCAGTCACGCTGGCCTCTCAGTCGTTTCCTTAGGAGGCTCCTCGGCCACCGTGAAGCCATCTTGGGGCCATCCGAAATTCTCGTCGAAGTAATCTTGAGCCATTTTGTGCAGTCTGGGAGGCTATCCAGGAACATCTCGGGCCACTGTGGAGCCCATGTATGGCAGTTTTCGTTTCTGTGGGGGCTTTCCGCTCCTGCTTCTGCCCCAACTCCTGCTCGCTCCTGCTTCCACGCCCACTCCCTGGCCAACGCCCTGCCAGTCTCCCCCCCCCCTCTTCTCCTTGTCCAGGAGCACCTCCTCGGCAGCCTCCAGCTCGAGCCGGGCGGTCTCCTCGGCCTTCCCTTCCCAGCTCTCAACGGGCGCCTGCCCTTTGTATTAATTACTCCAGGGCAGCGCCGCGCGCGGGGGGGCGGAGGATCGGCTCAGGGGGGAAATGGGCCTCGACCTGCGACCGTGCCCGTGCCTCGCCGCTCTCCCGGCTCGGGGCGGCCCGCCGTGTCCCTCCTCCCTCCTCCTCCCTCCTCCTCCCTCCTCCTCCCTCCTCCTCCTCCTCCTCCCTCCTCCCTCCTCCTCCTTCCTCCTCCCTCCTCCTCCTCCTCTCCTCCTCCCCCTCCTCCTCCCCCTCCTCCTCCTCCTCCTCCTCCTCCTCCTCCTCCTCCTCCTCCTCCTCCTCCTCCTCCTCCTCCTCGCTCCTCGCCCCTCGCTCCTCGTGTCCGTGCCTCGCTCGCTCGCGACTGCGCTTCTGCGATGAGGGGCCGATCTCGCTGACGTGTCGGCCGACGTATCGCCGATTCCCGGCCTCGTAGCGCCGCTTCCAGGCCCCCGATGTCCCTCCCCCCTCCCTCTCTGGGCCTTGATCAGGCGATCGCAGACATGGATTAAGGGGGCGTGGATGAGCGACGGGCCCCGTTGCCGTCGGAAATCGCGGGTTTCCGCCGCCGAACGAGGCGACCGGCCGCATGTTGGGGAGGGCACTTCTCCCGATCCATAGGTTGGGCGACCGCTCCCCAAATCCACGGATCGCGAATCCATGTTTGCGCGCCCCCGAACGATGTCCCCGCCCCCCCCCTCTGGGCCTCGAGTGTGCTAATGCCCAGGATGCTGGAGCACTGGCCCTGACTCGCCGTGGCCCTGGGGCGGCAGTCCCACGGCTGGTGGGTCGGGCTGGTGCTCGGGCGGCTCTGCGGTGGCATTCGGGCGGCTCCCTTGGAGCCCAGCGCTGGCCTGACCGTGTTTCGGTTCCCTGCTCAGGGGAACAACAAGCGGCATAAACATAACACCTCGGAGGTCCGCGCGGATTTCTCGGATCGGCGCCGGGGCCCCCCGGCGCGCTCCGCGCGCCAGGGAGGGGGATCCAGCGCCGATCCGAGAAATCCTCGCGGACCTCCGAGTTTTTATGTTTATGTCTTTCCCTACTACTGAGCCAGTCCCTTTCCCCCCTCGGCCACTTTCGTCTTCCGCCGCAGCGTCGCCATGACGGGCATGGTGCCCGCTGCGGCTTCCTCCCCCCGCGCCGCCGCGCGCCCGCTGGCGGTGGTCGTGGGGTTGCTCGGGCTGCCGTTGGCCAGCGGCTACTTCAGCCCGTTGCCTGGCGCGACGCCGGCTCCGCCGCTGGAGACCCTGGAGGACCTGGAGAGGGCGCTGAAGCCGGCCGAGCACCCAGAGTGCATGGAGACGTGCATGGCCCACACGCGCCGGGCGTTCTTCGACCCGTGCTACTCCTTCCGCGAGAAGGGCATGCACGTGGTGGACCCCGAGAACGAGGACGTGCAGGCGGCGCTCCAGCTGTGCAAGGACCACGAGGGCGCGACCGAGGAGCACTTCCAGGAGCGCCGCGGGGACTTCGAGAAGGCGTGCCGGCAGCAGTGCGACCAGGAGACGAAGGATCTCCCCATCGCTGACGTCGCTGGCTTCGAGGCAACCGCCGCCGCCGCAGTCGTCGTCGTCGGAGTCGGAGTCGGAGTCGGAGTCGGAGTCGGAGTCGTTGTCCAGAGTCGTTGTCTGAGTCGTTGTTTGAGTCGTCGTCTGAGTGGTCGTCTGAGCGGTCGTCTGAGTCGTGGTCTGAGCCGTCGTCTGAGTCGCCGTCTGAGTCGTCTGAGTAGTCATCCGAGTCGTCGTCTGAGTCGTCGTCCGAGTCGTCGTCCGAGTCGTCGTCTGAGTCGTCGTCTGAGTCGTCTGAGACGTCGTCGTCGTCGTCGTCG